CCCCCCGCCCCGCCCGGCCTCACTCGATACCGTTTATAACGTTTCCGAAGGAGAAATCGAAACGGCAAAATTCAAATGACGAGGATGAGCCCAATTCCAGAGATACATCTTAGCCTCCTTAAAGATTTTTTTTTAGGATGTACCAAAGGATGTTGTGACGAGGCTCTTACAACGCCTCTTGGAAACGGTGCGTCTTCTAATCGCAAACAATAGAAATCTGTATCTGCGGTGAATTAAACGGTGCACGCGAGCGTGCGGATAGTACAGACGTTCTTGCGACGTGAGAGGGACGATTGTCTTTACACGCAATCAATGTTCTCGCGTAATGCGAGGAAAGAACAAAAAAAAAAAAAAGAGGGGGAAAGTAACGTACCTTTTGTCCGCCACGTGTTGCGTGAGAGTGTTGCTTTATTATTGCGCGCTTCATTATATATACCCCATATATAGATCAGTAACTTGCGTGGACGTGCTCATTTTATAAATGTATTACAATCAAATACGTTTATATTTGAGAGTTTCGATTGTGTACGTAACAATTCTATCTAGATGCGATTATCGAGCACCGCCTATTCGACAGGTCCATATCTTCATTGATAAAGCAAGTGGATCACTTGATGGATCTCTATAATGGCGCGTACGCCGCTTTGGCGATAAACAAGCGAAAATAAATAACGAATTATCGCCATTTCGATCCCAAAGCTGCACGTCAACGAGAGCGTGTTGCGCTCTCGTGAACACTCAGGAAACACGTTCTCCTGAATGTTACGGACGAGCAATATTGAAACAACAACGCATCTTCGGATATCAATAGAACAGATCCCACGCGCTTCGCGAGCTTTAAGCTCGGTTCGAGCTTGGCAGAGTTTCAACGAAGTTGCACGCAATTTGCATCGCGTCGCGTTTTATTTTCGACGTCTCCAGCGTGAAGCACGACGTCGCTTTCGCATCCTTAAATGGCGATCGCTGAAATTGGGGAAGGAAAAGAAATTGTGGATGAAATTATTCAATACACAATTGTGACTTGAAAATTCACTCCTGGGAAGGGAAAAGAAATTTCGTATTTTGGATGGATAGAACTAATTTTATTTGGAATTCTTTAGATACCACTTTGTTCTAAAGCGCACAATCGATCGGTTCAAATAACAACTTTCTTGTTTTGAAACGCATACTCGTGTCATTGACACGATACATTTTTAAAGACTAGAATCTCGAGGCGGGAAAAGATAAAAAAATTGAATGAATAACAACGGTATCTTCCTTATAATCACAAAAATCAATTTATCAAATATGCTCATTGGCTCAAGTGACAGAGCCTGTGTCTATCTTCTGATTAACTATAAAAAGATTAGAATTCGCTATGATGAGATACATTTGTTATCATTAAGAAAATGCCGGAAAATAAATAGCAGCCGTTTATCGTTTAATTACAAAAGTAAAATAATATATATATATATATATATATGTATTTGTGTGTACATACAAAAAAATACGAGATATAGCTGTAACGACTGGAAAAAGGGGTTTGCAAGCTGTGCCGACTTTTTAATTTACTTTCCAAGAAGAATTTTGCGAGTGGCACCGATGCTTTGGCCTGCCTGGGTCGCACCCTTGTTGGAACCCGCTTGAAGACCAATCACACCCTGACCAGCTCGCAATTGTTCCTCTGTAAAATCACGTTTGCATTCGTCTGATGGCTTGGGTCCTAGGTAAGGTCCTTTCCATTCGGGATGCTTGTATGTCTAAACGAACAGAGATTTAGATGTTATTGTTTTATTCTGACAAATAATTATATCAGTCGTAAAAATTATTTACTACTATAAAGAAAATTGTTGCGAAATTTGTAGAAAAATTAATGATAATAGGGATAAGGAAACGTACTGTTCGGCCGAGCGCGAACAATGTTGTTACTACTTGGGCCACATCTTTCTTCTCCCATAAGTCTACGGTCTGGAAAACATCGACGTCGTCCACCCCGTAGTCCTTTAACGCCTTTTGAAACCTACAACATATTCAACGTAATCGTATAATGTACAGTCGGTACAAATATCTCGCCAGTCACCACTTACAAATTGATGTTTTCCATCATCTTGAACTGTCCGCCGGTACTGTTGATCTTTGGTACGGATCCAGGTGAAAGCTTGTTCATCAAATGGCACAGGACCTGACCATCCTTGAGCACCTCTTCAAAGGTTTCACCAGGAGGAAACTTCTTACCAAGGATCGATTCGATCCATTCCTGTGCCTCCTTCTCCTGTTCGGGGTTGCGCTTCGCCGCAATCTGTGCAAAATTATGTGCGAATGTCAAAATTATAACATACTGTTGCTTAGCGGAAAGGAATTATTATGAAAATTCGTAGATTCCCAATGGATTGATAGAATCCCGCGATACTTCAAGTATTCCAGAACATTTCAAAGAACACGTCTCTTTCGAAAAAAAAAAAAAAAAAAACATTTTATTTTGTTAGGTATTATCAAGCAGTTGGCTTCTTTCTGTTTAAAAGTTAAGAAAATAAAGAACTCGGAAGAATAGATCACTATATGATACACGTGACCGTAAACGGATCGGAACGGATTACACCACACAATTGAAATATTGTATGTGTATATAAATATATACCTTAGCGCGCACTTGACGTTCTAGAGCCATCCTTATGATATTTTTGAAAAGACTGAAGTGCCACGGGTTCTAGACGTGGCTTTTTATACGTTTCGGAGGAGTACGGAACCACCGTGGGCCAAGTCGGGGGAGAAATCCGTCCAACAACGTAAGAGGGTTGTATACGGGGTGTCCTAAGAAACGTTCCGAGGAAAAAAATGTTTCGTCGGAATTTTCCAGGGGAAGTCGCAGTCGGAGATTCCTCGTTATTATATTCATGTCGACTGGATGTAGCCTTCAAGGCTTTCTTGATATAATATTTTCTTCTTCATTGACTCGATAATCGATAAACCAGGTACTATCGGAGATACTTTTTTCCCCATGTTCCACATCGTTGATGCGACACCCCGTATAAGCGACGGAAGCGTGCGTGATTCCACACGTTTCGGTATTCTAATATTAGCGGCTTATTCAGTTAAACGAGAAATAGGTTTTCCGAAATCGCAGAGACGCGCAGCTGCTATGTGAAAATTGGGCAACTTAATAATGATTATAACATCCGGTAAATAGCCGAAACAAGATTCGCATGAATAAGTCACTGTTCTGTCGGCTATCTTTTATTAAAACGAGCCAATGTAATAAAATAACTATTAAGGATCTCAGATGTCGATTGCGATAATGTCTATAAAAATGCAACGGCAACGGAATATTTTGATTTTTTTCATTGAATCTCACAATAATTGATAGAAGCACATTGAAAAAAAAAAAAAATTTACTAAATTTTATTTCTTTGAATCGTAAACATTCATTTACAGTAAATGAATATTTATTTAATAAAAAAAAAAGTCGAATCAAATTAATGGGTTTTGTATGAAAAAATAAGTAAATATTTATTTAAACGATTTAAACTAATATTTATCAAAATTTTTTTTCCAGTGTAATTATCCAAAGTTTCTTTTATTTTTTTAATATAAATTCGAGATTGCATATATTCCAATTTGAATCAAGAAATGATGAGGAATAAACGATGAACAAATAAGAAGGAAGATTCTTTATATGTCATTACGGAAGTTAGAAAGATCTGAACGGATCCTTATTATGGGATATAAAAATGTCAAATCTAGGATCGTCTGACTTGTTCGAATAAAACTGTTCGCGTTGTTCTTAGTCTAATTACAATGCATATTCCAGCACATAGCTTATCAGTAGGGCATAGGCAACGTGTCGAGGTCCTGACACAGAAGGAAAAAAAATACGGTCGCCTCGTGGAAAGTGGGACGTGCTACTTTTAAATAGTTCTCTGTCATATGGCTCGGGTTATTATTGCGCGATCCAGATTTTGCGGCAGATACTCTCCTGTCGTGCGAACGCAAGATAGAGGAAATACGGAAAATTATAGACATTCCGAGGACGAGGCTTTAAAAGTTCATCACTAATATATAATAATATATAATAATGGCTAATATAGGCGAGAGCCTTAGGGGAATTCAAAGAATATCAAACTTTGCTCCTGCAAGACAATCTTATAATAAATCAATCGAGAAAAATTAAAATTACTGTATACGTTTTCGATACTAAAAGAGCAATGATAATTCAGTCC